AGTACCAAAAATTAGCCAGGCATGGTGGCAGGTGTCTGTAGTCCCAGCTATTTGGGAGGCTGAGGCAGGAGAATCACTTGAACCCGGAGGCAGAGGTTGCAGTGAGCCGAGCATCTTGTCACTGCACTCCAGCTTGGGTGACAGAGTGAGACTCCATCTCAAAAAAAAAAATAATAAATAGACAAAACATTCATGGTTTCTACTGTCCAGATACTTTCATTCCAGAGCAAATGGCTAAATGATTGAATTCAATATTCTGTGGTCACGAGAGAGAAGGGAGGTGTACAGGGGACTTTGGCTGCATTTGTACCACTTCCCTTATGCTGTTGTGACTTCGGGTATCACCACCTGAAGGGCTATTCGTGGACAGAATTATTGCTATTGTCTGATTATTCCTATTTATCTTACCTTAAGAAATAAAAATTTTTTAGCTTCTCATATATTTTTCTAAAAAACCCTAAGGGTTTTAATCAAATTCCTTGTTACTGTGTGTTATAAAAATTGACAGAGGAATGGCTAAAGTAGATTCGAATTACACAAATTCTAGGAGTCAAGTTTCTGTTGGGCCGGCTTAGGAAAGACAGAACTGGAAAGAATCCATTAGCATAGACATCAGACACATGGGGCCTACTTTCCGTCCCAACCCTCACCAGATACACCCACTTCTAAGGCCTCATTTAGATCTGGTCTCACCCTAGAATCTCCTCTCTCAGAACTAATAAAAGGAGATCAGAAATTTGAGTGGTGGCTCCTGCTGCCTTTCCTGAGCTCATGCCCATAATTTCCTGAAAATAAAAAACAGAAAAATGGAAGCAAATAATTACATATGAGTGGCCCACAATTTCTTTTTCACTGAAGCCAGTGCTTCTAGAGGCACCACACCAAGCAATCTGTTTTTTATTTCTTCAGATCCAGTAGGTTGCTCTGCAAGGCAAGGGAAATTCAATATAAATGCAAAAAAAAAATCCCTCTGAACAATTCATCCTTTCTTTCTGTATCGCTCTCACCTGTCTATGTCCCTTTTAGTCTACACATTTTCTTTTTAAGGTAAATAATATTTAAAATTAAAAAAAAGGCCGGGTGCGGTAGCTCACGCCTGTAATCATGGTACTTGAGAGGCTGAGGCGGGTGGATCACGAGGTCAAAAGATCGAGACCATCCTGGCTAACATGGTAAAACCCCATCTCTACTAAAAATACAAAAAATTAGCCGGATGTGGTGGCACATGCCTGTAATCCCAGCTACTTGGGAGGCTGAGACAGGAGCAGCGCTTGAACCCAGGAGGCGGAGGATGCGGTGAGCCGAGAATGTGCCATTGCACTTCAGCCTGGGCAACAAGAGTGAAACTCTGTCTCAAAAAAAAAAGAAAAGAAAAAAAATGGAAATGTGGGCCCTTCATTTAAATCCTAGGAATTACAGTATACTTAGCTCCCAACTCCTAGGGTCTATGATGATTAACTCACATCACGGTGAGTTTTCTAGCACCGTGCTTTGTAACAGACTTCTGAACACATAACACATGCTCAAAAAACAGTGTATTAACTCATGGGTACATGTTTTTCAAATGCAGACTTACTCAAACATTGATGCCTTCTCTAGGCTCTGTAAACCTTAAAGAGCCAGCAGAGAATAAGATGTTTGAAAATTTACATTTAAATTTTCAATTTATATTGCGATGCTTCGCTAAGTGGCTCTCAGCCTAGGTTTCCAACCATAATCACATGACCACTTTAAAGAAATGCAATCACCTGTGTCCTTTCACAGATTCTGTCTGTTGATCTCAGTGGGACCATCCATATGGTTTTAATCAGGAAGTCAAATTGTCCCTTTTTGACGATGACATAATATTATATGTAAAAAAAATCTAAAGACCACCAAAACTTTAGATTTTATAAATAAATTTAATAATGTTTCAGGATAGAAAAATCAATGTACAAAAATTAATAGTGTTTTTGTACACTAATAATGATCAAGCTGAGTGCCTAATTAAAAAGTCAATTTTTTTACAATAGGTACAAAAAAGGTAAAATACCTAGAAATACAATTAATAAAATAGGTGAAAGATCTCCATAAGGAAAACTACAAAACACTGATTAAATAAATTGTGTATGACACAAACAAATGAGAAAAACATCCCATGCTCATGGATTGGAAGAATTATTATCATTAAGATGAACATACTGCCCCAAACAAATTACATATTAAATACAATTCCTACCAAAATGCCAATGTTAGTTTTTATAGAATTAGAAAAATGTTTAAACTCATATGGAACCATAGAAAAGCCTGAATAGCCAAAGTAAATTTAAGCAAAGACAAGAAAGTTGGGGTGATTACATTACCAGACTTAAATTACACTAGAAGGCTTTAATAACCAATACAGCATGGTACTGATATGAATAGATGCATAGATTAATGGAACAGAATAGAGAATCTAAAAATAAAGCCATGTATCTAAACACAATTGATCTTTTACAAGGTCAACAAAAACATACACTGGGGAAATGACTTTCTATTTAACATATTGTGCTGAAAAAATTATATTGCCATATGCTGAAGAATAAAATGGAACCCCTAACTCTCACCATATACAAAAATCAACTCAATATGGATCAAAATACTAAAATGTAAGACCTGAAATGATAAAAAAAAAATTCTAGAAAATATCCTGTGATAAACTCTTCTGGACATTGGCCTGGACAAATAATTCATGACTAAGATCTCAAAAGCAGAGGCAACAATAACAAAAATAGAAAAATGGAACTTAATTAAACTAAAAAGCTCCTGAACAAAAGCGTTGATTAACAAGTGAGCAGACAACCTATGGAATACAAAAAATGTTTGAGAACTGTGCATGTGACAAAGAACTAATGTCTGAATGTACAAGGAAATCAAACAGCTCAACAAGAAAAAAACAAGTAACCTTATTGAAAAGCAGGCAAATAATGGGAACAGATATTTTTCAAAAAGAGAGCAACGATGGCCAATAAGCAGGTAAAAAATGCTCAACATTGCCAATAGTCAGAGAAATGCCACTTAAAAACCACAATGAAATACCATCTTACACCATTCGTAATGGCTAATTATTAAAAAGCAGAAAATTACAAATATTGGCAAGAATACACAGAAAATAGAACACTTACACATTGTAGGAATGTAAGTTCGACAACCTCTATGGAAAATAGTATGGGGATATCTCAAAAAGCTAAAAATAGAACTTCCATTTGATCCAGCATTCCCACTAATGGGTATCTACCCAAAGAAAAATAATTCATTACATAAAGTAATTACTCACGCTCATATATTTATTGCAGCATTATTCACAATAGCAAAGATATGGAGTCAATTTAAATTTATCCATCAATGATTGAATACAGAAAATGTGCTATACATTTATACCATACAATACTACTCAGTCATAAAGAAGAGTTAAATGATATCTTTTGCAGCAACATCAATGGAACTGGAGGTCATTATTGTAAGTGAAATAACTCAGAAACAGAAAATCAAATACTGCATTTTCTCACTTATATGTGGGACCTCAATAATGCATGCACTTGGATGTAGAGACTGGAAAAATAGACACTGGAGACTCAGAAAGATGGGAGGTTGGAAGAGGGTTTAGAAATGAAGAAATACCTAATTGAGACAATGAGAACCGTTCAGATGATTCCTACACTGAAAGCCCACACTTCATCACTATGCAACATATCCAAGTGATGAAACTGCATCTGTACTGCCTAACATAGTAAAGAGAAAAAAAAAGTTGGCTTTTATCAAGAGGGCAGACGGAATAGACCTCATAATTTTCATAAATATTTAGGCAGAAAAATAATTTTAATAAAAATTTATAAAATAAATAAAATAATTTTAATAAAAATATATAATTTTTGAGCCAGAGTCTTGCTCTTTCTCCCAGGCAGGAGTGCAATGGCAGCGATTTTGGCTCACCGCAACCTCTGCCTCCCTGGTTCAAGCAATTCTCCTGCCTCAGCCTCCCGAGTGGCTGGGATTAGAAGCACCCGCCACCATGCTCAGCTAATTTTTATATTTTTAGCAGAGACAGAGTTTCACCATATTGTCCAGGCTGGTCTTAAACTCCTGACCTCAGGTGATCCACCTGCCTCAACCTCCCAAAGTGCTAGGATTACAGGCATGAGCCACTTCACCTGGCCAATAATATTGTATTTTAAGAATGGCATAAAAAGATAATTTGATGAATTAGAGTAGTTAGTACATAGCACAGACAATATGCAAGGCAAGATTCTAAGCCATTATACATTTTAGACAGAATATCCAACAGTGTAAAATAAATAACATGAAGATTCAGTGGCAATGAAAAATTGACATATTTTCAATCATATTAGATGATATTAAAATCATTGTGAAATTTTGTTTTGTTTCATAATAATTATAATATTAAATAACTTCATTAAAAAGTTTGGCTAATTAGGCATATAGATAAATGGGCAACATGTTAACCAGTAAACAGAGGATACACATTATTTTTAAAGGCCAATGAATATTTTTATTTATTTATTATTTATTTATTTTTGGTTGGGCCAGCTGCTTTATTCGCTGGGGATATAGTGGCGTCCTCTCCTTGGGAGGTGGGATTTTCTACTAGTCACCCCCAGCCGTGGTCCAGGAGGCGCCATGAAATTCAGTGCTGGGCTCAGCTGGGGGCCGGGTCTTGGCGAAGGCGAACTGTGCAGCGAAGCAGTCAGTAGCTGTGGGTTCTCACCGCCCGCTCTGCCCGGCTGTCCTGGGTCTCCCGGTGCTCCTCAGGCCCCCACCGAGCCTGCGTCTCTATAGGGCAATGAGCATCCAGCCCGGAACCTTCTCCTCAGAGCCCTGTTTGACGCAGGCCGAGCATTTCTGCTTCCTCCCGTTGGGCTGGACTTTACCCTCGGTGTTTCTTCCAGTCTTTCTTCCGGCCGCTTGTCTGCCTGAGCTTCAATTCCAGCCTCAAAAATGTTCCAGCTGGGAAGGGCGTGTCCATGGCACTGTCCACACTGGTCTCTCAGAAGGTCATTGCATGGCTGGGTGGTTTCCTCCCAGGCCACCTGCAGGCCCTGGTGCTGGGCCCTGTGAGCTCGGCCACCCCCGTGACCCCACGCCCACCCACGGGACTAGCAGGATCCGCAGCCATTGCTTGCTTCTGCTGTCACCCCATCCCTGTGAAGCGGAAGTGCTCCCCTCAGCTGTCTGAGCCCGCCAGGAGCCCCCTGTTCCCCTGCCCTGACCCTGCGGGCCATGGCCGCAGAACGTTGGGAAGAGGGGAAGGAACTGGGAAATATCCCTTTCCCCAAATTGACCTTGGGGTCCGCCTGGTCCTCTCCACACCTTCCCACTCTGCCCGCACTGTTCCCTGGGGCCTGAAGATTTAGCAAAGTTCCCTTCCCCCTGCCCATGCCGCGAAGCAGTCCTGTTGCCCACTCCCACCCTTCACCCCTTTTCTGGCTCGTTCTTTCACCCTACTGGCTCTTCGAAACGACTCCCTCTCTTCTCTAGTGTCTTCGGAGTCCCTCTCTGCTTCTCCGGATCAGCCTTCTGCCAGATCGCGTCTTCCCCGCCATCTTGAATCTCCTGGCTCCCCTGGGATGCCTCCCCCATCCCGGGGCCCAGGCAAAACCGACAAAATTATTTTAAATGGGAACATTTGAATTCCACTGAATTTATGACAACAGAAACCCATCTGGTCATATTTTAAAGAATTATAAAATAATAATAGCAACTATCAATTTAAAGTGTAACCAGGGTTAAGAATACCCACCATTTTACCAACAACAATGAAACCCTGTTATAGCTAAGGAGCAAGTTCAGTAAAGTTGCAGGATACAATATTAACATGAAGAGAGCGGGCCGGGCACAGAGCGGGCTGCGGTGACTGGCGGCACGAGCCTGCAGCCCCTCCCGCGCGGCGTCCCACCATAGAGCTCACAGTGTCGCTGGCCGTGTGCGTGCTGCCCTTCCTGTTGTGGGTGTGCGTGAAGGGACTGGAGTTCGTGCTCATCCACCAGCGCTGGGTGTTCATGTGCCTCTTCCTCTTGCTGCTGTCGCTCATCTTCGGCATCTACTACTACGGGCGCTCCTGGGTGGTGTTCAAGCTCAACAGCATGCCGCGCCTGCACGAGGAGCACGTGCGGGACATCCAGAAACAGATGCGGGAATGGAAGGAGCAGGGCAGCAAGACCTTCATGTGCACAGGACGCCCCGGCTGGCTCACCGTCTCGCTCCGTGTCGGGAATTACAAGAAGACACACAAAAAGATCATGATTAATCTGATGGACATTCTGGAAGTGGACACCAAGAAACACATTGTCCGTGTGGAGCCCTTGGTGACCATGGGCCAGGTGACTGCCCTGCTGAACTCCATTGGCTGGACTCTGCCCGTGTGGCCTGAGCTTGATGACCTCACAGTGGGGGGCTTGATCATGGGCACGGGCATAGAGTCGTCATCCCACAGATACGGACTGTTCCAACACATCTGCACTGCCTATGAGCTGGTCCTGGCTGATGGCAGCTTTGTGCAATGCGCTCTGTCCGAAAACTCAGAACTATTCTATGCCGTACCCTGGTCCCGTGGGACGCTGGGTTTCCTGGTGGCTGCCGAGATCCGCATCATCCCTGCCAAGAAGTACCTCAAGCTGCGTTTCGAGCCGGTGCGGGGCCTGGAGGCTATCTGTGCCAAGTTCACCCATGAGTCCCAGCGGCAGGAGAACCACTTCGTGGAAGAGCTGCTCTACTCCCTGGATGAGGCTGTCATTATAACGGGGTCATGACAGACGAGGTAGAGCCCAGCAAACTGAATAGCAATGGCAATTACTACAAGTCGTGGTTCTTTAAGCATGTGGAGAACTATCTAAGACAAAGCCAGAGGGCCTGGAGTACATTCCCTTGAGACACTACTACCACTGCCACATGCGAAGCATCTTCTGGGAGCTCCAGGACATCATCCCCTTTAGCAACAACCCCATCTTCCACTACCTCTTTGGCTGGATGGTGCCTCCCAAGATCTCCCTCCTGAAGCTGACCCAGGGTGAGACCCTGCGCAAGCTGTAGGAGCAGCACCACGTGGTGCAGGACATGCTGGTGCCCATGAAGTGTGTGCAGCAGGCCCTGCACACCTTCCAAAACGACATCCCCGTCTACCCCATCTGGCTGTGTCCATTCATCCTGCCCAGCCAGCCAGGCCTGGTGCACCCCAAGGGAAATGAGGCAGAACTGTACATTGACATTGGAGCATATGGGGAGCCACATGTGAAACACTTTGAAGCCAGGCCCTGCATGAGGCAGTTGGAGAAGTTTGTTCGCAGTGTGCGTGGCTTCCAGATGCTGTATGCCGACTGCTATATGGACCTGGAGGAATTCTAGGAGATGTTTGATGACTCCTTGTACCACAAGCTGCGAGAGAAGCTTGGTTGTCAGGACGCCTTCCCTGAGGTGTACGACAAGATCTGCAAGGCCGCCAGGCACTGAGCTGGAGGCCGCCTGGAGAGACGGATACATGTGAGTGGTCAGGCATCTTCCTTTCACTGGAGCTTGGCTGCTTTCCCAGATCCACGCTTTCAGAGAGAAACCCCTCCAGAAATCCCCCCCTGACAGCCCAACACCACCTTCCTCCTGGCTTCCAGGGGCAGCCCAGTGGAATGGAAAGAATGTGGGGTTTGGAGGCAGACAAGCCTGAGTCCAGTTCCCCGTTTAGAACTCATTAGCTGTGTGACTCTGGGTGAGTCCCTTAAACCCTCTGAGCCTGGGTCTCTCCATCAGTTGAAGGGGATAGTAATACCTACCTGCAGGTTGTCATCTGAGTTGAGCACCGGTCACATTGCAGTGCTGGGTAAGTGCTAGCTCTTGTTGCTTCCCGTTCAGCATCACATCTGCAGTGGAGTCTGAAAAGGCTCCACGTCAGGTCACCTGTGCACAGCCATGGGCCGTGGCTGGAGTGATGAAGGGGATGCCCTGGAGTTGCCCTGCCATCGCCTCCATCAGCCAGACGATCCCTTACAGGAGAAGGACAGCTCTTCCCCACCCTGGGGTCTCAGGAGGGAAGTGGTGGGGTAGGGAGGCCCAAGGTGTGCTGTGCCATAGCCAGGTCTGAGGCCAAAGTTCTCCCCACCATCCTTGGTGCTGTCCTGCCCCTTCATCCTCTATGCCCTGGCCTGCAGGCCAACCCCAGCCACCACTGAGTCCACTCGGAGGGGCCTGTGTTCCTGGAGAAGGCATTCCAAGGTTGAATCCTGCCCTAGCCTCGGTCTGGGACACCTAGGTGGCGAAAGTGGTCTGCCCTCTGAATTGGATCCAGGGGACCTGGGCTCATTCTTCTTGGCTTACCAACGCTGCTGGCCTCACCTTGTCCCAAAACCCACTTTGTCTTCGTGGGAGTGCGTCTACGCTGCTCTGTAGCATGGGGGCTGGGGAGTGGACGGCATCAAGTAGGAAAATGGAGTCCACCACCATGTTTCTGTGGGATTCTCACTGTGGGGCTGGAAGAAAAGAGCATCAGCTTGATTTCTCCAACCACTCATCTCTCTTTTTTTTCTTTCTCCCACCACTCCCCACCCCAGCTGTAGTTAATTTCAGTGCCTTACAAATCCTAAGCTCAGAGAAAAGTTCCATTTCCGTTCTAGAGGGAAATGAGCCTCCCTACGTCCTTCCCCTGCTAGTTATAACTCAAAGCTTGGTTGTTTATGCAACTCCATCTTAAGAACTGCCCAGCCTCAGGTGAAAACCCGAATCTGAGAAGGAATTGTTGTCATGTAAGGGAAGCTGGAATTAAGGGAGCTGAGCCAGTCATGGTTGTGAGGTGTGAGTCAGAAGACCTAGGTTTCAGTCCCTCTCTACTGTCAGCGAGCTGTGCAAGGTGGGCTAGTCCTTTGTCCTCTGAGCTGCAGTTTTCTCATCTGTCACATCACTACAGACAAGACCTCCCTGGAACTCTTCTGATTGTCTTAGATACTGTGGTTGCAAAACCCATAGAAAGCCTCATTTGGGTGGTCAGAGGAAAAATAAATGATCTAGTGAACACTTGGGTGTTATCTGTCATTCAAGATCCTTCCTTCAGCCCCAAGGCTAGCTCCCATCTCATTTTCAGAAAAGCTTATACCTGGCTTGCAGGGAAGAATTTGCCTTGTAATTCGAGGTCCCACAATCCTCTTAGAGTCACGCTTTGACTGAAGATTGTTCACCCATCCCTCCCAAGGCTTGGCACACTGCTAGTGTCTGAACATGGTCCTGTGAGGGCTGGGGGCATTCAGGCACTCAGAAGGCAAAGGAACCACCCAACCCATTTGGCCTCTGGAGGGGGCAGAAGGAAAAAACCTCATTCTCTATTTTGCAAAGCATGTGAATCCTGGCATTAGTTCTCATAGGAGACCCATGTGCTTCCTTGCTCGATGCAAAACTGATGATTCTACTTGCTATAGATGGTTAACATGAGCTGGTTAATCCAACAGTGTCATTGTTTTCGCCAGTGGAGCCTCCATCCCTAAGCCACTGGGACTGTGGCCAGAGATGCCAGCAACCTCAGTCACCGTTAATCATGTAACCAAAATCCAGACCTTACCCACAACCTGGGGCTTGGAAGGGAAGGTATTTTGGAATCACACCCACAGGTTAATGTTGCTCCAGTAAAATCTTGCCTGGAAAGAGGCAGTGTTAGCATGGTGAGCTGAGTTCATGGCTTTTTTTTTTTTTTTTAGCCAGTCCTGTCACTGGCCATCCATGTGATAGTTTTGGGTGGAGTTAAACTTGTCCCAGGGGGCAATGCATGTGGAAAGTATCAGAGTAAACCTCTCCCCTCCAGAGCCCTGAGTTTCTTGGCTGCGTGAAGGTTTTCTGTAAAATCAGAATTGTAGCCAGTTTCTTTGGCCAGAAGGATGAATAATTGGATATTACTGAAAAGGAGGGGTGGGGATGGGTGTGGCAGTGTATGGTGTGTGCTTTTTTCCTCTTTGGTCATGGGGACCAAGGAGAAAGGCATGAGTCTCCCCTATCAGGCTCTTGCAGCCACAGGCACTGTATCTACCATCTGGAACACATGACCTCGTGGCTGTGAGGCTGCTGCTTCTGTTAAAATAAAAGTATGGCCTGGAAAAAAAAAAAAGAAAGAAAATCAGTTGCATTTTTATACAGTAACAACAGAATATCTGAAAAAGAAATAAAACAATTCATTAACAATATTATCAAATAGGAATACTTAATTAAATAGAATGAGTTCAATGAAGAAAATTAAAGATCTGCATACTGGAAACTATCAAATGTGTACAGCAATATTGATGAAACTTGAAGAAATTATGCTAAGTGAGATAAGGGAAATACAGAAAGACAAATACTGCATGATCTCATTTGTATGTGGAATTAAAAAAAAAAAGCTGGATGCAGTGGCTCATGCCTGCAATTTCAGCACTTTAGGAGGATGACATGAGGGAGACGAGCTACTGCACTCTAGCCTGGCAACAGCTTGAGACTCCATCTCAAAAAAAAAAAAACCCTAGGTTAAAAATCTCTTATATTTGACATAGCCTAAATAATATTATTGAAGAACTAATTAATAGATGGAACAGGTGATATATTGTAGAGAATTAGTCTTTTATTGTTTTCTTTTGTGAAGAATTATTTGTTCTATAAACTCAGCATTTATATTTGGGTTGTTTCATGGCTAATGAGATATTTAGTTACAAACAGCTGAGTACAGTATTGAAACAGTGGGTGGAGTGGGGTGTGGATGGGCAGGTTGGTGGCTGGCTGAGTAGGCAGAAGGATAAACAGGTAATGAAAGAAGATTGGACAGATGGTGGGCAGAGGGGCAGGTAGGTGGCTAGGAGGGTTGGTGGGTGACTGTAGACCTTCCTGGTTGTCTCGGGAAGGTTGTGTGAGTGGAGACACGCAGCATGGTATCTTTGTAACCGGCTGCTTTCACTAAGAATCATGTTTTTGAGCTCCATCCCCATTGCTCTGTGTGTTAGTGGCCTGTTCCTTTTGATTGTGCAATGGCGTTTGGCTGCACAGGGAGACACAAGTGGTTACCCTTCATCCATGGGAGGTTGTGTGATTGTGTCCAGATTTGGGTGATTGTGGATAGAGTTGCCATAAACATTTATGTAAAGGTTTTCATGTGAACGCAATTTTTCGTTACTCCAGGGAAAATAGCTGTGGGACTGCTGGGCCATGTGATTTAACAGAGCTGTCAAACTGCTTTCCAGGGGCACCTGACCACCTCACTATGGTTTGATTTGCATTTCCCTAATGGCTAGTGTTGACAGTCTCTCATAGGCTTATTGTTTTGTATAGAGAGCATCCTGTTTGGTGAGGGTCCAAGTCTTTTACCCACTTTTGTTAGGATGATTCTCTGTTGATTTTGAGAGATCTTTATGTATGTCGAATACTTTCTTTTTTGGATATATGGTTTGCAGATATTCTCTCCCAGCCTATAGCTGTCTTTTCATTGTCTTTTGTTTTATTTTGATCAAGTCTAATTAATGGATTTTTGCTTTTATGTGCATTTACCATCATGTCTAAGAATTCTTTCCCTAACCTCAAGTTATGAAGATTTCTTCTTATGTTTTCTTCTAAAACTTTAAACACACACACACACACACACACACACACACATTCATGGCAATTCCAGTCCTGGTTTCTGTCAGTGGTCACATGGTCCTATAACTACCTTCTTCCACTCCACAGTCTGTATTCCCTTTGCCTTCAGGAAGTCTCTGCTGGTTGTGGTTTTTTACCTGGTGGGGAACCTTCATTCCTGAAGGTTCTGGACCATTACTAATCCTACCTAGATTGGGTTGCTATGCTTTTCCATTGATCTTAATCATAGTGCACGCCCAAGGGCCCTCCTGTATCCCAGACATGCTCTTCCCCAACCCACTGTGAAGCAGCAGTGCAGTTTCTCCTTGGCGGTCTGGATCAGCCACCCCCACCAACATCATAACCCTTCTTTACCTGTTGATCCAGAGACATGAGGAGCTTAACACTACCAGGTGGCAGCCTAAGCTTCCAGAGCAGTGGATCATCACTGTGTCTCCTGGTGGCAGCATTCCTTCCTCTGGAACTAAGACCTCTAGGCCAGCAGAGTATAAGGTGGTGGGGACAAGGAGCAAAACTTTTGTTAGTAGGTTACTAGGGGTGACGATGATGTTGTTCCCACTCCATAATTCCTGGCTATGGGAATAGCCTTTGAGTCTTGGCTATGGGAGAAATAGCACCATGTATTGGACACTGGTTCTGAGAACATCCAGCCTTCTGAGAGCCTTGCCCCAGCCTGAAAGGCACTGCCACTGAGCTGCTCTGTCACTGACTCCTCCAAAGGCCATTATTCCACCATCTGTCAAGCCAGCTGCCTCAGGACGGTGGGAGCCTGGAAGGCCAGTGAATTCCATGAGCACTGGGCCATCGCGGCATTTCTTTTGCTGTGATGTGAGTTCTTGAACCAGAAGAAATGCTGCGTGGATTCCATGACAGTGGAGAAGCCATTCTGTAAACTCACAAGTGGTAGTTTCAGCAGAAGCACTGCATTCAGGGAGGGCAAATCCATACACAGAGTGTGTATTCCACTTATAACAAATACTGCCCCTTCCATGATGGAAAAGGTCCTAGGTGATCAACCTGTTAGTGGGTGGCTGGCTGGTCACTCTGGGGGATGGTGTCATACTAGGGACTCAGTGTTGGTCTCTGCTGCTGGGAGACTAGATACAGAGGTGGCTGTAGAGAGGTCGGCCTCAGTGAGTGTGAGTCCACGATCCTGAGCCCATGCATAACCTCACCCCTGTGACCATGGCCACTTTGTTTCTGAGACCCTGGGGTGAAGATGGGGGTGGCTGGGGAAAGAGACTGACATCTACAGAATGTGTCATCTTATCTACCTGCTACTGATATCCTGCTCTGTGAGGTCACCCTTCAGTGACCATTCACATAGAACACACATATTGTCACATTTTCTGCCCTTCAGTGAGGTCTACTCACATACCTCTTCCCCAGGCTTCTCTGTCACCCACCTACCTATCATATTCTCTGCAAGTCCCTAACCAGCCAGCCAAATTATTGGCCACAGCCCATGAATTGGTCTCACATCTGGCCATTTCTCCTTCCAAGCAAAGTGCACAATCAGGTGCACTGCCCCAAGGTCTGCCCACGGGAAGGGTTACCCTTCACCTTTGTCCTTTAGGGATGTCCCAGAAGGAAGCTATTACACTGCAGCTGTCCACTTTCAGCTGGTACCTGGGTATCACACAGGTCACATGGGAACTTTGTAATCCCCAGGTAAGCATTCAGCCCAGGGACAGGTGAGATGCTTCTCAAAAGGAGAATAGTTATCTGCAGAGGATGGCAAGGCTGTGCACCAAAATCTTAAGGGCCTGTGCTGCCACTCAACTATAGGGGCCTGCCAAAGGCTCCAAACTTATCTGCCACTGATGCTCTGAGCACCATTGGATCTTCTGGGTCACATGGCCCCTGTTGCAGAGCAGCACACACGGCCACATGGACCTGCTGCACGGCCTTCTCTTGCTCTGGGCCCCACTCAACACCAGCAGCCTTTCAGGTTACTTGTTACATTAGCTGGAGCAACACACACAAATGAGGAATATGCTTCCCCCAAACTCCAAATAGGCTCACTAGGCACTGTGTCTCTTTCTTGGTTGTAAGCAGAGCCAGATGCAACAACTCACCCTTTTCCCTTAGAAGGTATGTCATGGCAGGTCCCACACTGCTGGACTCCTAGGAACTTCACTGAGGCAAGGCCCCTGAGTTGTTGCTTTTTTTTTGAGACAGGGTCTCACTCTGTTGCCCAGGCTAGAGTACAGTGGTACAATCGTAGCTTATTGCAGCCTCGAATTCCTGGGCTCAAGGAATTCTCCTGCCTCTGCGTCCCAAGTAACTGGAATCACAAGGGCACACCACCATGCCCATCTATTTTTTTACTTTTTTTTGGTAGAAATTGGGTCTTTGTGTCCCTGTAATCCCAGCTACCTGGTAGGCTGAGGCAGAATTGCTCAAACCAGGACCCAGGAGGCGGAGGTTGCAGTGAGCTGAGATCCCACCACTGCATTCCAGCCTGGGCTACAGAGCTAGACTCCATCTCAAAAAAAAAAAAAGAGAAATGGATACAATGGATAAGTAACAGGACAGACAAACATCCAGGAGAAGACATTTTGGCCAGATACTCCATCTCAAAAAAAAAAAAAAAGCAGAAAGAAAGAAAGAAATGAAATGATGTGGTCTTGCTATGTTTCCCAGGCTGGTCTTGAACTCCTGGCCTCAAGTGATACTCCCATCTCAGTCTCCCAAAATGCTGGCATTATAGGTGTGAGCCACTATGCCTGGCCTACTTTTGTCAGATTTATTTTCCATCCTCTGACACACAAATGTCTTACCAGTCATTTAGAGTTTCTACTTCTTGCTCACTGGGTCTAGTCAGAATGATGCTCTCAATGCAATGGACCCTTGTGCTGTCCTGTGGAAGGAAAAGGCAATCAAGATCTGTGAGAACGACATGATGACGTGGGCTGGAGCATCAATAGACCCCTGAGGGAAAGCACCAAAGGTGGAGGTTGGGCACCGAGGTTGGAGGGTTGCTGGCCTTGCCAGCTGAAAGCAAACTGCTTCTGGTGAGTCTCATTCACAGGAATGGAGAAAAACGAACTTATCAGCTCAATACCTGCATACCAGTACCAGGGGATATATTAATTTGCTCAAACAATTACCACATTTGGTACAGCAGCTGCCATGGAATGGAAGTGATTCTTGGGTTAAGCTTACGAGAGTCCACTGTCATTCTCCAAGATCCATCAGCCTGCACGGGCCAAATAGTCGAGTTGAAAGAGAATGTGGCAGATTCAGTATATAGGAGTCACCACCCCTGTGTTTTTCAAGTCACTGATGGTGTCATTTATCTCTCAGATCCCTTGGGAATGTAGTCTTGCTTTTGGTTTACTATTTTCCTAGGTAGAGGCCATTATAGAGGCTCCATTTGGCTTTCCTAACCATAACAGTCCTCACTCTATAGGAACCCAAGGTGGGGAAGCCGCCAGGCTGCTAAGCATGTCTGTTCTGATGATGCAGTTGCAAACTGGTGCAGTGACCACAAGGCGGGCTTGC